ATTATCTGTTTGAGTCCCTGCCTTCACTCTTTTTGGGTACCCAGAATTGAATTGCCCGATCAAATTGTAATTCTATTTAATTTTTTGGGAAATGACCATACTGTTTTCCACAGTAGCTGTACCATTTTACAATCCCATAGCAGTGCACTGGAGTTCCAATTTCTCCTCATCCTCACCAACACTTGTTATTTCTTAGGGATTTTTGTTTGTTTGCTCTTGATAGTAGCCATATTATTGGGTATGAATTGGTATTTCTTTGTATTTGCGTTTGCATTTCCCTAAGCATTAGTGATGTTGAACATCTTTTCATGGGTCTATTGGCCATTTGTATATCTTCTTTAGAGAAATGTTTGCTCAAATCCTTTGCTCATTTTTTAATTGGATTGTTTTCAAGGAGACATTTTTAAATGGTGAGATCTCCTAACATGTGTCCTAAAAATCCTGATTATAATATTTGTATTTAATCTCCTGCATATACTGGTATTATCCCTGCCCAAGTAAAATACTTCTCTCAGAAGTAACTTCTAAAATCAAAAGGAGAAAGTAAGAAAATCTGCGTAGCTCCTGATAATTGGTGATTATCAAGAACCTGATCGTGAAATCCAAACTCTTACTGTAGACAGTCACACTTGTGACCCTACTGGTCGCATGTGGAACAGGGTACTACAAAGGAGGCACTAGGGGACTGTTGTTTCCACGTCTTTCTAGTTTCCTCTCATTAGCTGGATGAGAAAGAATGCCCGATAGTTGGCAGGGTCAGAAAAAGGGAAGAGCATCTAAAATACTAAATTATTTTCCAGCTCTTTATAATGGACAGGATTAACCTATGGAGAAGGGGCTATAGTAGTTAACAATAGATTTCTGAGAGAGGTTTCTACTAACGAAATGTGATTCTAATCTGAATTTCACTTTTGAAAATAGAGAATACTTCTGGGTTTCATTTCCTACTACACATTTCACCCCAGATTCTGAAACTGGTGAGGCAGTGTGTGGCCAAGGCTGAGGGGAGTTGGGCAGGAAGATGAAGGAGGACTCTGTTAAGAGCAATGATATCTGAGATTTATGGTGTGGGTATGGAGGTTGACCTTGAATGATTTGAAGAGCTGCTGAATGATCGTATGTGAAATTCTTGTAACGCACTATTTGTGTGTGTTGGTTGGTTGAATAATGAACCCCACTTTGTTTAATTTGCAAATCTGTTTATTCTACAATTACTGGGAGGATCCATGACTGGCTTTACTAGATCCAGGTGGAGAAGGGAATTACAGAGCTGTGTTAAGACCTAGTCCCTGGCCTGTGACCTCATAGAATGGTACAACTGAAAATGACCCGGAGATGAGCTTGGCATGTATCAAACTCTCCATGATGGATAATGGAAGAGGCCCAGAATTTAAGTTACTTTTCTAGAGTTACACAGATGATTAATACCTTACCCAATTCAATCTCCATTTCACCTCCCTCCATATTAGGGCAAATGGGCAGAGAAAGTGTTTACACTTTGTCACTTTTAAAATTGTAAGACTAAATTATTTTCTTTAAAAAGAAGACTATAATGTTTAAATTTAATATCCTATGTAAGTACGCAGTTTCTGTGTTCAAATTTGTTTAAATGTAATGATGCCACAGTGGAATTTGAGATTCAGATTTCCAGGTAAGAGCATTAGAGATGTATATATGTTCCCCCAAATTCTTATGTTAAAGAAACTAAGTTGTATTTAATGGGAGTCATTGTTCAGACAATCTCTAGAAGACTTCATTAAATATTAAAAAGAGGGAGCTCAATCTTCAACTCTAGTGATAACATGTTTCTTAGAAATGGTACCACTGTATGCCAAGGTTTGAGATAAGACAGGATCAGCTCTTTTATCTCTTGGCAAATATATGTAAACAGTCAAGCTCTTACTGGAGAGGCTCGGAAAAACCAGTCCCTTGACCCCTTCCTCCCTGTTCCTTTGGCCTTTCCTTGTCTCCCTGCCAGCCTGGTTGTCAGGGTCAGGCCTTCCCACAATCCTCTCCTCAGGCACCTGGCACTCAGAGCTAATAAAGAGGGTCTAGAGCTGGGTTCTACTCCACCTTCACTGCAACATCAGCAGGGCCATTGCTATTCTTTGAAACCCTTTTCTTTCTTTTTTTTTTATTTCATATTTTACTGTCCCCTATGCATTTTCAATAAATCCATTAGACCCAAGTCCTACCTGTATTTATTACAGGTGACCTCACTTCTGTTTATCTGAGAAGGCATATATTATAGGCTTCCTCAACCTCATTACTTACCACCTCAAAATTTCTCTCTGTCTCCATTCATTCTCTTCCCTGGTCTTCCTAGGTCAAATTAACACAGCCTTTTGTTCAAGCCAGGAGTAAACTCTCTACTTGGACTCTCCATTCCATTTCCTTTTACTTTGTAGGGGACTATGTTCTGACAATAATTCTATCTCTTTCCTATGTATTTGGTTTCTTCTCTTTATTGGCCCTTTCCTCTTTGCCTGCAGATGTGATTAGTTCACACACATAAATTTAAAATTAAACCTGGTGCCAACAAAGCTTCCCCTTGACTTTTATAACCTCCACTAACCTATTCTCCTTCTACCTGTAGGGGAAGACAAATAGTTTTCCCACTACCCTTCTAAGTTCTCATCTGGGAACACTAACAAAAGGCAGATTAATAAGAGAAAGCCAAACAGGTTTATTAACATATATACCTCATGTATACATGGGACATACCCAGGGAAAAGAGAATAACTCTCAGTGGTGGCTTAGAATTCAGGCTGAAATACAAACTTCGGCTAAAGACAGAGAAGGAGGAGTGGAGGAGGCCAGTTTTGGGGAGGTGACCAGGAAAAGCATGGTAAATAAGAGTGAGATTTTTTATGCAGACTTAAGTTCATGCCTGTCTACTGACTAGGGTCTAGTGATTTAGTCATCCTTCCCTTTCAGGTAGGAGAGGGAGGTGCCCTTATAAATGGAGATTTCCTTTATAAATGTAAATTTCCCTTACACAAGTGGTAACTTCTAGTCTGTTTTCACAATTTCTCCTGTGTCTGCTGTTTCCCAAAATAACCTGCTCAAAATAATCCTTATGTCAAGGAGGCATATTTTGGGGTGGCACATTCTGCCACCCTTCATAGTTCTCTGGAGGCTCCCAACTTCCCCACCGACTCCCAAGTTCTCCCTAAATATGTTTGTTCTCAAGATTTGCATTTTCTGCCCCTTAATTTTTCCCTCTCCCTTTATCAAATCCTTTTCTGTGATTTTGGTCATTGTCACCATGCAGGTCAGTTCCAAATCTGATCCTTCATCCTGACCACTCATCTGCTGTCTAAACTTGTACATCAAGCACCCTACAAACAGTCAACCCACTGAAAATGAAACTCACATGTCCAAATCTGTGCTACCATTGCCTTTCCCCACTCAACACCAGCTCCTACCTGATTCCCCGACTATTAACAACACCCCATTCTCTCAGTCCCTCACTTATGAAAACTCAATTTTGTTTTTTTCTCAACAAACAGTCCAAGTTGTAGCCAATCCCATAGCTTTTTGCACTGTCATTGGGAACACATCTTGACACTATCCACTCTTTTCCGTGTTGATAGCTGGTGTCTTAGTTCAGGCCCTCCTAACCTCCAGCTGGGCTGGTTTGTTTGTGTTCCTGCCTCTCCCTAGAATAACTTTTCTACTTCCCCTTCCACACTTCACCCCACAGTCCACAGTCTTACTTCTCTGAATAGCCAAATTCCATTTGTTCTGTAAATGCTTCCTCTTCCATGAAGCCTTCCTCGGTTTCTTCTCTGCCCTTCCCAGTAAGAAACAATCTTTACCTCCTCTGAAATCTTTTGTTCTTTCTTCACAGCAGTTAGCACATTGTAATGTGTATAATGGCAATCTTCATTTTTTCCCCTTCAGCCAGCTCTTTGAGGACAGTGACAACACCCAGTTCCATCTTTGTCTTCCTTAGAGCACGCAAATACAGTTCTACGGGTTTTTTTGTTTGTTTATTTGTTTTTAATTTCAGCTTTATTGTGGTATAATTGACAAGTAAAATGGTAAGACATTTAAAATGTACAATGTGATGATCTGTGTACACTGTGAAAGGATCCCCTCTATTGAGTACATTAACACATCCCTCACTTCACATATCTGTTATTTCGTGTGTGTGTGTGTGTGTGTGTGTGAACATTTAAGTTCACAAATGCAGTTTGTTTATAATTCACTTATTGAACTTTCTTTCATCACTTATTTTTTGGTGCAGATTAGGCTAGATACTCTAGGAGCTCTCTAGGAGCTCCTAAACTACAGGGGAAACAGGCAAATGCTGACATAATTACAGTCCAGTTGGTCAGCATGTCCACAAGTCTTAACTGCATGTCTGAATGTGCCACGTGTCCTTCAAGAGGCCAGGGAGACTTGGATGAATAAAACAGGCCAGTTCTTTGTTTTCTTGGAACTCACATTCTAGTGTTGGGAGAGATCCAGTAAACACATAAACAAATGGCTTTTAGATCTGGCTGCACATTCAATATTACTGAGGGGTACTTTGAAAAAAATACCCAGGTTCCAACCTCAGCCCAGGCTGATTAGATCATAGCTAAGTTTGGACCCCATCAACAGAAACACATTATAATAAAAGAAAATATCAGGTAGTGAAAAGTGCTGAGATGGATGAAAATAGAAACAGGTTGAATGATGGGGATCGTGTGTATGATGGTGGTGGTGATGGGAATGTGTAGTCCCTGAAGACCTCTCTGAGGAAGTGACATTTGAATTAAGATGTGGTGAGGAGAATGCCATGTGAGGATCTGGGGAGAAAGGGTTCCCAAGCTGGTGCAGGTGCCTTCCTGACGTAAGGATGGGGTGAAGTTCTAGAGGAAATGTGTCCTTTTCACCTATGTGTATAATAATCTATGAAATAGGTCTTTCCTCTCCAGAAAGCAGCTTTTCTATTAAACTAGGCAGACTCCAAATGCAGTACACTTGGCTGCTGGGCTGAGTACTTGGTCTGGGTTAAATTTTATTTAGATCAAATTGATTTACACAGGAAGACTGCTTTGTTTAATTATATTTTTCTATAGTACAATCAGCACTACAGGGCTTGTCTGAATTAAATGCCAATGTTATTGTTTAAAATAACTTTAGGAATTTGATATTATCTTTAGATGAACAAAGTAGAGAAAGCAATGATTTCTGCCCTACATTCTGTTTGGAGGAGCCAAGGAAAACCTCACAGAGGAGTCATTCAAACCACACAGAGTCAAGCGCTCGCTCATGGTTGAAAGAGCAAAGATCAACACCTTTCAGCAATCAAGTTGAGAACTAGCATTTGCTGGGCATGCTCTTTGTGCTGCTGTGTGTTGAATACTTTATGTACATTACTGTTTGCCATGAGTTTTAAAAAATCATCCTGTGATATGAGAAGAGAGTGTTTTTCAGTTAGGACACTTTTGGCTGCTGGTAAAGGAATACCCTACCAAAATGGCTTCAACGGTGGAATTTGCCTCAAGTCATCCTGAAGGAAAGGTAACTCCAGAGTTATTCGCCACTGGGCACTGTTCTTAGCAACCTGCGTTCTTTCCTTCCCCCTGTTCTGACATCCTCAGCAGGTTGGTGCACTCTCTGAGGCTGCTCCCCTGCCCATGCTGAGATGGCTGCTTTCAGACTAGCAGCCGGATTTCAATATCTAGAGGCACAGCGAAGGGACTCATTTCTTTTCATGTACCTCTTATTAGTGTGACAGAAAAGCTGTCTCCAGCTGAATTCCCCCCACAGTTCACATGCCTTATCTGTAGAGACAAGGCAGATGGAACTGCTGTGATTGGCTCAGGTGAGAGTTTCCTCCTGAGGCCGTGGAGCAGCCCTGCCTCTCCGAAGAACACAGTCACCAGAGAAAAGGTCTGGTTCTGTTAGCAAAGAAGAAGGAGGTAATGATTATCAGGTAGCCAGCCAATGGAGTCTGACACCATTATTATTCCCAGTTTATAAGTGAAGATACCAAGGCTCAAAAAGGTTAAATAACATCGAGATCACACAACTTGGAGTTGAACAGTGTTTCCATGCATTTCCCTTTGAAAAACACACAATACAGGGCACCTGGGTGGCTCAGTTGGTTAAGCGACTGCCTTCGGCTCAGGTCATGATCCTGGAGTCCCGGGATCGAGTCCCGCATCGGGCTCCCTGCTCAGCGGGGAGTCTGCTTCTCCCTCTGACCCTCCTCCCTCTCATGCTCTCTGTCTCTCATTCTCTCTGTCTCAAATAAATAAATAAAATTAAAAAAAAAAAAAAAGAAAAACACACAATACAAACAAAGAGCTTGTTTTTGTTAATGGTGGTGATCTAGGTAGACTGGAGAAAGAATCCTGAAAGAAAATACAAAATGGCTAATGCGAGACTTAGTAAAGAATAACCTTCTAAACCTATAATCCCAGAAGAAAATACATCAGGTCCTATAAAGCAATAAGAATGTCATTTAATTTAGACAGCATTTAATTTAGTCTTGCATTATCTCCATTGTAAAAACAAACATATATATATATATAAATTGAGTTTTCCTGACTGATCAGTTAAGTCAATTTGATGTAAATAAAATCCACTCTGGGCCAAGACAGGAGCTAGAGAGGCCGAGGGCTCTGTGTATGGCGTCTGTCAGACTCAAATGAAAGCTTGTTTTCTCTAGAGAGGTATTTTGTTGATTACAGCACCTGTGAGAGAAGAATGACTAATCTCTGGAATTGCTGATTATGAGTTATTTCAAAAATTGGTTTTCACTTTCCAACTCTGGAGGCAACCTGCACTTCCATTACTGTTGCCTTTTCTTCATGGTTCCTACTTTCCACAGTGGTGGTGGTGTATTTCAGAGGTTCTATATGTGAGGCGGCCCTCGTGGAAAGGGGAGATTTCAAAGTGGAATTGCTGATATTACAGTGTTTTGACCGCTTGTCTCAAGGTGTGCTTTCTTTGCATCCTCATCAGAGCAGACTAAGGATTAATAGTAGGAGTACATTTTCTGTAATAGATGATAGAGTGCTTCCTACTCATATTTGCATTTTTAAACAGGAAAGTGAAGTTGATTTCTAGGCTTTGCCAACAGAGCTCTGCTTAAGAAGGGTATTTATCTGATCTGTACAGAAATGAGAAAAATTGTGAAAAAATTTTAACAGGAAAAAAAAATCTGTCATTGGGCGCCTGGGTGGCTCAGTTGGTTAAGCAACTGCCTTCGGCTCAGGTCATGATCCTGGAGTCCCGGGATCGAGTCCCACGTCGGGCTCCCTGCTTGGCGAGGAGCCTGCTTCTCCCTCTGACCCTGCCCCCTCTCATGTACTCTCTCTCATTCTCGCTCTCTCAAATGAATAAATAAATCTTTAAAAAAAAAAAAATCTGTCATTTTAGAGTCTTTTTGGAGAACTGAGCTGATCCTTTGCCATTTTTTAAAAATCTCATAAATGTTAGCTGTGTTTAGGGAACATTGCTGTGGAGGGACATTAATTTCACTAAGAGAAAGAAAAAAAAACCTTGCTATTGAACAACCCCTAGATTTTCTTTTAATTAAAATAATACAAAAGTTAAGTAAGAAAAGGTGAAAATTTCTAGGTTAAAAAAATTATGTTTTTTACTGTAAGTCTTAATCCTCAAATACTGTAGTGTAAAAAATAATTTTCTAAGGCTTACTACACAGGCAAGTATAGTAGTTAAAGAACACCAGTTTGGAATCAGAATCTCTTGAGCAAGTTACTTTCTATGCCCCAGTTTCATCATCTATGAGATGGGAAATAATAATGACAATACCTACCTCACAAACTTGTCAGGAGAAAATTATATAATGTATTAAAATGTTTATTTAGCCTAGTGCATGACAAATAGTAACTATTTAGAAGTCTCGCTATTCAATTATTATTGTTGCCATAAAGCTGGAGTAGAGCATGTTTTATTCTATCCATGGGATTCTTACCAAATTCTAGCAGAAGTGATTGTTACGGCCCAACATTAGTCACAGGTACAAAGAACTTGGAGGACTATTTCTCTGGGGTGGCCAGATGTCACTGTTTTGACTTAAGTGTCCCTTGCACTATTTGTCCAGTAATTTATGCGCTCAGTCATAAATATTTCCAGTTTTCCTTCTGAACTCATGATAGGCTTACTTTACACTTCTCTGTCCACTTTAGGTAAGTGTAGCCACATCTCTTGTATTAGCCAGTGAAATGAGAGTAGAAGTGCTTTTTACCACTTCCAGGAAGAAGCTTCTTAAGAACCAGGATGGCAGTGCAGTTCTTGGCAATTGGCAGTGGCAAAAGCACAGAAATGGGGGCTGCACTCTTGAGCCTGGGTCTTGGAGTAAAGACAACATAGGGATGGGTCTAGCCACTGACCTGCGATGGACATGTAGTGGGAGTGGGAGTAAGTTTTGCTGTCCTACACCAAGATTTTGGGGTTGTTCGTTACCACACAGCATATCCTAGCCTATCCTGACAGATTCATGCTGGTTATCCCTTCAAACTCTAGAGGAGAAGTATATTATTGGTAATAGTACATAAAATATGTACCTATTGGGAGACAGTAATTTCTAATGACTATTTTGTGTATGTGTGTGTGTTATATGTAAACATCAGGAGATAGTTTTAAGTTAAATAGATTTATAAGTTTCCATTTCCATTTCTTTTAAAGGTTTATATCCAATTCATATGGAGGAAAACTGACATAGCAAAATAACCAGCCTTTTTTTTTTTTTTTTTAGAGAGTCAACCATTTTGCCTAAATTAGGACTCTGAATTCTAGGCTCAATACTTTCATTGGAAAATGGTCCCTCCCATTGAGAGCTTACTCAGAATGGTGCCTTGTGAAGCAAAGAATCTAAGATAAGATGATAAATTAAGCCACACCCATGGCCTTTGTCTCCAGTAAGAAAATGGTCTTCCCTAAGCCCTATGGCACTGTTCCAGTTATAAACAATGACACTACATAGAGGATCTTAAGTAATATGTATTGAATAAATGAAGCAGTCCACAGTTTTTCCAAATGTCTGGACTCTTTCATGTTTGCATTTTAAAGATTTATTTATTAGAGAGCACGTGTGCATGCGTGCCTGCAGGGGGGAGGGGTAGAGGGATAGGGAGAAAGAATCCCAGGCCGACTGCGCTGAGCAGGAGCCTGACCTGTGGCTCCAGCTTGCAACCCATGAGTTCATGACCTGAGCCGAAAGCAAGAGTGGGATGCTCAACTGACTGCACCAACCGGGCGCCCCTATGTTTGCATTTTAAAATGTCTTTATTTTGGACATTGGTTTAAAAACATCTTGGTACTAAAACTTATATTTATTCTTTCATAACACTTTACATGTGACTGACCGTGTACTCACAGATTTAGGCTATTTTATTTGATATTTTTTACTGCTGATTTTATTTCACTTGATTGTTTCATTTGGGTCTCTAAAACTACATTATGAAATACCTTGATTATTTAAATTAGGGAGAGATTAATTATCTCCAGTGTACAAACTCAAATTAATTTCATTATTAACCCAAGTTTTAAATTGATTAATCTTGGAGCGGTTAAGGAACCAAGTGGGGTTTTTTTCATCCTTAAGGAAAAGGGCATATTTGATTTGATGAATCTCTCTCCATCACAGCAGTTATGCTAATAGGAGCAAGAAATTTGCAAGAAAACTTTGAATAGCTTTTATAAACCACCCAGAAGCCGGTGTGTCTGGGGCTTCTGGGAGAACAATCTGTGAGTCATTTTAAAAAACAAACACACTCATAATCACAGTGCATGTTGTTACCATGGTAATTAGGCCTGTCGAGTTGGCTTGCTTATGTTCCTGTCAAGAGAAGAGGGGGAGAAAAACCGAGAATTCAGAGCTTGGACTATCAGCTTCTATTTGCCTATTTCAAGAGAGAGTTTAGGGGGTTCTTGAAAACGTACTGGCATAGTCATCCTAAGAGGGAAGTGAGGAAACTCTGGCATCCTCCCTTTGTTATTGAATATAAGTTAGCCATATTAGTGTCGGGTGTTGTGATTCACAGGAGAGAAAAGGACCATTTGGCATTCTCTCGGGGAGAAGGAGGGGAAATAGGTCCTTTATCTGATGTATAATTACATGGAAGTCTCTAGGGTCTACCTGGGGAAGTGTCTTGTGTGCAGGTGCACAGCGCTTTAATGATCTTCTAAAAGGCACCAGATACCACTGGCAAAATGTTATTGCAGATTAAGGGATTTGCATTATAAAGTGCATTATTCTAATATGGGTAGAGACTGGTTTCAGTGAGGCCATTGTTTCAGAGCTGATCCCCAAGTAGATGAGATATCTTTTCTCTATTTTATGGAGTAGATATGACTCTTTTATCTTGGACAGTCATCTTATAATACAGACCATGGGCAACAGAGATTAGGGAGGTTATGTGAGCTCTTATAAATCTGTCGCCATTCCAGAGGAAAGTAAAATCAAAATATGATGTTTGTTTGATGGACACGGTCAACAGAGTTATTGGGCCAGTGGTTACAGTAGGAGTGCGTCATTATGATTCTATCTGAGGAACAAACAACACCCTTAAATTAAAGGTATGAGTTAGTGCATATAAAGCTGTTTTTTTTAAGACTGTTTCTAAGTTTACTTTAAGAGGTCTAGAGATCTCGGAGTCTGAACGGTATCCTCTTAACTGGAGAATTATAATATGTTGACCAGAGTTTTATTTTATTTTTTTAGAGTATTCCTCAAGCAGATATTAAAGCAGATTTTATTTAAAGCTAAAGAACTTTTCTGTATTAAAACTATTTTTCAGAATGCTTGAAATAAAGTGCCGTGAAGTGTGATGAAAAGGTCATACAGGGGCGCCTGGGTGGCTCAGTCGTTAAGCGTCTGCCTTCGGCTCAGGGTCCTGGGATCGAGCCCTGCATTGGGCTCCCTGCTCCGCGGGAAGCCTGCTTCTCTCTCTCCCATTCCCCCTGCTTGTGTTCCCTCTCTCGCTGTGTCTCTCTCTGTCAAATAAATAAATAAAATCTTTAAAAAAAAAAAAAAGGGTCATACAAACTCAGGGAGTTGGTGTGTGATTTATGCCCTTGAGAAGATATAATAACTACTTCTTGAAACTGTAGATTTCATTTTTTCTCTCATATATGAACAGAAGGCACATGTTGCTTGAGCTCTATTCTGTGCTATCTTAATTTTCTTAAAATTACTAAACCATGCTTAAATTTTTTTTTTTTTCTGGTAAAGTAATTCATGGTGATTATTGAAAATTTGGGGAAAAAAATGTGAAGAAATGACCCCTTCTATTAATTAGGTTGTTGGTTGAACCGCATGTAACAGAGGCTTGATTTCACAGTGGGGCGATAGAAGTTCTTTCTCTTTCACATAATAACCCAGAAGTGGGTGGTCCAGGGGTGAAAAGGTAGCCCTGCTCCACAAGATCATCGAGAGACCTAGGCTTTTTCTATCACGTTCGTCCATCACTCAAGCCTGTTTCTCTTGCTTTTGATCTAAAGTAGCTTGCCCTAAGGATCCCACTTATGACCAGCAAGAAGGGAGAATGTTGGAAAGGAGAGGGCATGTGTATTTTTCCTCATCATTTAAGGTTTTTATATGCATCATTTCAAAGTTCCATCATGTAGAGTTTTTGTTTACTTAATAAATTATATTACTGATATTTAGGCTATTTCTAACACCTTGGCGATAATTCTTTGTCTACATTTTGGATTTTTTTTTTTTTAATAAAGTCAAGGAGTGTTATCACTAAGACAATGGTTGAGAACATATTTGAGGATCTTGATGAGTAATGCCAAACTATTTCCCTGAGAGGCTGTTAGCACCAGTAATGTGCTAGAGTGCTAGGCACCGAGCACCCTCAGACGGGCTTCTTCTGCAAGTCCCACTAATCATTGTTATCCCTAGGGTTCATTCTGTGAAAACAGGTTGTGTTTGGCCCTTGGCTTTTTTTTATTATTATTATTTCTTTGCTGTCATTAATCATGAGATAATGCTTTCCTAATAACTTTGGCTCATTTAAAAGCATATGATCCCTTCTAGTCATCTGGGAATATAATTGGTTGGGCTGAGGCTCTAGCACACCCACCAGTCTGAAGTGTCTTTATAGACACAGATGTTCATTCGGTCCTAGGACCCACTGTGAACTTGACATCCTCTGAAGTCCCTGTGGCCAGGGGTGTCAGTGTCTCTGCTGTTAACAGCCCACAGAAACATTAGATACTAAAGATGCTTTTATCATTCCTAAATTGTCCAAATCTACCCTCTGTAAGGGCTAGATACACACAAGCGGAAATCCAGCTCTGTTCGTAACTCCTGGAGCAAGAATGTGTTCTGCCTCTGCCCCTTTGGTCCTGTTGGGAGCAAACCGGGTTAGGTCAGGAGGGAAAAAACTTCTTCCTAGTCATCTCATTTAATCATTTCTGTCACCAAGAACTCTGCTTCCCTTAGGTTCCCAAGCCCACTTTATGTTTCATGTTTTCTTGAAGGCCAGGGAAGTTCACAAAGAGATTGTTATTTTCACATCTGCTTCTTAAAAGAAAAAGTGTTAACAGAATGTTTGTTCTTGGCTCAGAAATGTAAACCTGTGAGACCCTCCGCGCTTAGGGCTCTTCAGCCATTACCACCAAACCCTATTTACAGAAACACTCATTTGCTTAATTCAGCTCTTATGTATCATGTTATTTTTCCTTTTTATAAACAACAACAACAACAACAACAACATTCATTTTCCTCTCTGCTTTCTCAACAGCCCAGATCTGCCAGTGAGCCTCAGGCTTTGGGAACTGAAGAGGTAAGAATTAAGGAATATTTTCTCCTCCCAGGAGCTTCTTGAATCTAACCAGAACTTGAAGCAGAAAAGATGATCTTAACTGATCCTGTAGACGAATGCATTTAACATGTGATGTTTATCCATAAGAAATATGCATAGAGGCTTTAGCAAAATTAACAGGACTTCAGGATTTAAGAAAAAAGCAGTTATCCTTGAAGATAAAGTCTGATTTCTCACCCAGATTTTCCCATTTCCTTCTAAAAACCTGAGCTGGAGAGCCTTGAGGTCACAGCCTGACAATGTATTCCTCTGGCACCATACAGGATTAATCGGTTGCAGCTATTGCAGAAATACCCTGTGCAAGACAGACATCATTGTAGATTAGATCAGAGAAGGGTAAGCCCTGTTCTTAACAGATTGGTTATAGACACTGTAAGGGCTTTCCCAGTAGCAACAAACAATAATAACAAAAGGTCAATCTAATGCTGTAGGGGTTTCTTCTTAAAGAAGCTAACTTGGCTTTTGAAAGTAGCTAAAGCCATTTGAATCTGGTTGTAAACTTGCAAGGTCATCATATTGCTGAGACAGGTGATAATGTGTTTGCTCTCCCCGATCTACAGTCAGCAACGTGGATTTTTTCCCCCCTATTTTAAAATTTAACCTCATTAGGAAAAATTTCAAGCTTTTTCCAAAATAGAGTTATATAATAGACTTCCATATCCCCATCACTCGATTTCCACAACTATCAACTCATGGCCAATATTTTTCATTTATTCCACCACCTATTTCTCTTCTTTCCCCATTGGATTATATGTCAGTGATTTGAATTTGGTTGTTGGATTTTTAATTGTTTATTTACATAACTATTTAGTGGTTATAGAAAAGTGCTAATAAAAAATACTACCTACCTATAACCTGATTTAGTTTACTGGAGCTAGTCTTTCGTCCATGTATTTATTCAGCAAATATTTAGTATTTGCTAGTATTAGAAACTTAGAATCTCTGGTATAGAGGGGTGCCTGTGTGGCTTTGTCGGTTGAGTGTCCAACTCTTGGTGTCTGCTCAGGTTATGGTCTCATGGGTTGAGAGATCGAGCCCTGCGTCAGGCTCTGCACTTAGTGCGGGGAGTCTGCTTGAAGATTCTCTCCGTTTGCCCCTCCCCCATTCTCTGTCTCTCTCAAGTAAATAAAGAAATTTAAAAAAAAGAATCTCTGGTCTAGAGCTTTAAGAAGAAAGGCCTATGTGAGTATGCTTTTAAGACCATATATAGCTACCTCATATTGAGGTTCTTTTGGATTTAAGTACTTAACATCTTACAACTGAGTACAGAGCCATCCCTGCATTCTACCAAATACAGTAGTCCCCCCTTATTTGTGGGGGATATGTTCCAAGACTCCCAGTGGATGCCTGAAACTGCACTAGTACTGAACCCTATGTATATTGTGCTTTTACATATATATATACATATATATACACACACACAGAGAGATAGATATTTATACACATACATACACATATGATAAAGTTTAATTATAAATTAGGCACAGTAAAAGATGAACAACAATAGAACATTTATAACAATATACTGTAAAAAAAAGTTATGTGACTATGGTCTTTCTCTCAAAATACCTTATTGTACTGTACTCACCCTTCTTGTGATGACACGTGATGATAAAATGCCTACATGTGAGAGGAAAGGAGGTGAATGACAGGCATTGTGATGAAGCATTAGGCAGAGGATCACCTGTTTCCTCACAGTTGACCAAGGGCCACTGAAACTGCCGAAAGCAAAACCATGGATAAGTGGGGACTACTCTATTGCTCATAATGAAGACTGTCTTAGAAGTATTTGATATTCTGTGTCTGATGTTTATGTTGATTTCTTTCATGCTAATGAGTGGACTTAAATGTTTCAAATCAATCCAGGCAGAGTTTCTCAGTGGGAGTTGCTGGCAGGTTGGATGGGACAATTCTTCATTGTACTCTTTGGTATTCCTGTTCTTGGCTCACAAAAGGCCAGTGGCATCTTCCAGTCATTGTGATATCCAGAGCACCCTAAGTAGACATTGAGAACTACTGTGTCTTTGCGCACAATTTTAGAGGGCTTGTCATTTTCCATTCTCAAAAGCATTTTTGCTTCATGCAAAATTACTGATTTCAGTTATGCTCAGTGGTTCCTTATATCAGTGGTCATGTGCTAACAAACTGAAGAAAGAAACGAAACTAAGTAGACATGTAAAGAAAAATGGCGTTTTGCGCTACTAGAGGGATTTTGAGCAAATTTTCTCCAGTACCAAATATGTTTTTTTTTAAGTCTATGTAGAGAAGCAAATTAAACACTGGGTAAGAAATGGTCAAATATTAGGGTTTGGAGCAAAATACTACGAAAGCATCAGGCAAACTGAAAAGCAGCAGTGTCAGTGAAGGATATATTCCTTTCCTGTTTGCTGCCGTAACAAATTATCACAAACTTAGTGGCTCAAAGCAATAAAAATTACAGTTCTGCAGGTTTGGTTCTGTGGGGATTTCACTGGGCTAAAAGCAAAGTATCAACAGAGCTGCCTTTCCTTCTGGAGGCCCTAGGAGAGAATTCTAGAGTCTACCTTTCTCTATCTTCAAAGCCAACAGCATTGCATCTTTGTATGTCTTCTACTCTATCTACATCTCTTAACTCTGAAATCTTCTTTGATTTTAAGGCCCCACGTGGTAAGATTTGGCCCACCTGAATAATCCAGGATACTCTCCCCATCTGAAAGTCCTTAACTCAATGTCCCTTTTCCCTTGTAAAGGTTATATATTCACCGGCTCCAGAGATTAGGACAGGGACTTATTTGGGGGCTATTATTCTGTCTGCTACAAAGTGAAAGAGATTAGTTATTCAGAAAAGCAGAAAGACCTCAGGTAGCAGAGGTGGGAGTATCTAACATTTCATCATGTAGGGTTGAGCAGGGTTAGGGTTTCCAGATTGCTGAAGCAAGTTCTTCTTTTTTTTTTTTTAATGTTTTATTTATTTATTCATGATAGTCAGAGAGAGAGAGAGAGAGAGAGAGAGAGAGGCAGAGGCAGAGGGAGAAGCAGGCTCCCCACTGAGCAGGGAGCCCGATGCGGGGCTTGATCCCAGGACCCTGGGATCATGACCTGAGCTGAAGGCAGATGCTTAACCATCTGAGCCACTCAGGCGCCCCTGCTGAAGCAAGTTCTTGTCTGGACTCTCCAAATCCTGTTTTGTAGATATAGCCCCTGAAGTCTTTTGCTTTTCTTGGAGTATTTGGCATTGGATCCGGTGGGCAGGTTGAAGTCCCACAGCTCCTTTCTTGGCCAGACATTTTGGTACTATGGGTGTGGCCTCTAGAGAGCATGCTGCTTTTGGAGTTTCTTTAACTCTGGGGTGTTTGCCCATAACGTACAGGTTCCAAGGTCTTTGAATAGTACCAAAGAAATTGAAGATTTTTATTTATTTTTATTTTTTTTAAAGATTTTATTTATTTATTTGACAGAGGGAGAGACAGCGAGAGAGGGAACACAAGCAGGGGGAGTGGGAGAGGGAGAAGCAGGCTTCCCACTGAGCAGGGAGCCCGATGCGGGGCTCCATCCCAGGACCCTGGGATCATGACCTGAGCCGAAGGCAGACGCTTAACGACTGAGCCACCCAGGTGCCCCGAAATTGAAGATTTTTATTTTATGCTCTTATTTCTGCCTGTCATATTATGTTATATTTATTAGGCTCTAAAATATGGAAATTGGAGGAAAAAATAACATAATATTTTAGAACCTCACTCTAATGGTATTTATTATAGCTAATTTCAAAGGATGGTTTAATTTCCATCATATACCAGGTATGTCATCCCCACAAAGTAAGAAACCATTTCTTGCCTCATGAGTGAAATAGACCACTGGGTTGTTTTTTTTTTTTTGAAAATCATCTCTGGAGTAGAATGAGCTGGAAATTTTCGTTGGAGATTTTAATTTTTTTCAGCAAGTCTCCTCTCTATGCACCTCTAGACATTCCAACAATGCAGATCCGAAGACCAAACCTAGGACTAGCAATAGGGTAAAAAACCATCCTGATTTGTCCAAGACTGGGGTTTTCCTGGGACACAGGACTTTTGGTGCTAAAACTGGGCCAGTCCTGGGCAAATCGGGATGGGTGGCCACCCCCACCAGATGTCTAACAAATGGCTGCAGTGGAAAGTAGCTGTCATGTCCATGAATTGTTAAATTAGAATATTTAAATTCTAAGTTAAAATAGAAAATTTTTTTTGAAGATTTTGGTTTTGGGGTGCCTGACTGGCTCAGTCAGAAGAGCATGCTACTCTTGATCTCAGTGTTGTGAGTTTGAGCCCCACCTTAGGTGTAGAGTTACTTTAAAAAAATTAAAATAAGTAAGTAAATAAAGATTTTAAAGTAATCTATACACACATTGTGGGGCTCGAACTTACAATCCTGACATCAAGAGTAACTCACTCCACTGACTGAGCCAGCCAGGTGCCCCAAAATAGAAATTTTGATTGAACTAGGTAATGACAACAACCCCCAGGATTTGGGTTGAAGACAGCAGTGACTCCAACTCTTGGAAAATCTGTATCCACATATACATGTTTGCCCAAACCAACTTAAAAAAAAAAACAAAAAAACCAAAAAAACCCAAACCCTCAGATTCAGCACTAAGAAGAACCTGACATTTAGGAAGTGTTACATTTCATGCCCTACCCTTTCAGTTCTCCGCACCCTCCTACAGGATGCCTTCCATGAACACATCTTTAATAACTTTGTCACTGAAGTGACCACAGTACCTCACTGCATCTTTTTCAGCATGTCAGCATGTATGGAAATTATAAAACCCGTTTGCCAAAGCAGCACAGGACTCTCTTAGTTTGAATCCTGTCTTTTTGTACGACAAAATTGACCTTTCCCCACCTAAGAGGCAGCATAGACTGTCCCAAAAGAGATAAGTATTAGGAAGATGATCTTGAAAGCCTGAGGGGAAGGGATTGGAGTGGATCCTGTCTTGGTGTCTTATT